GCTCTGATCAAACGTCAGCTTTTCTGAGAGAACTTCTGTAATTCTAGCAAGGCATGAGACAGGTTCTCTATCAATTCAGGAGGCATGTAAGGAGTGTCCTGAAGCTCTCAGTGGCTTTTTCAGGCTTTTTATAATCTTTCTACACCATTTGTAGTGAGGCCATCGAGTATAGGGCAGGCAGAGGGGCTGGGGGGCCGGGAGGCTGACAGGCCTCCCCACTCAATCTTTACTCTCTTGGGGGGTCTCTCTGGCATCATCTTATAGTATCTTCCTCTTGCAGCTGTTCAGTTTTAACCATTCTCCACCACTCTCTGTTGAGAGATCCTGTATTTCCCAATAGACAACTGTCCTCTGTGACACTGCCCATATACGCCTGACTTCCTAGGCAAAGATGTGCCCATGCACCCAAGGGCCTCCCACATTCAAGGCTGCATGCAGGTAATAGCCACAGAGCCCAATGGTGCAAAGCCTGAGCAATCTTCATTTACCTTACAATGTCTCTGAGTACAAAGCCTAAGGTATTATTCTCGTAACCCAACCCTCTCCCAGTCACCCACACCTGCCTTTATTTTCTTTCTTTCTTTTTTTTATTTTAAAGATTTATTTATTTATTTATACAAGCACTGGGTACAGTCAGAAGCGTGGGAGGGTGAGAGAATTCACCAGAGCCAGAGTGGGGAACAGAACAGGCAGACTGACGAAATACACTGCTGAGGGGAGCAGTGTGCACAGCAGGAGAGGTCGTCGTGCCATGTGGTACCCTCCCCGGCAGCCGGGGATTGAACCGTCACTGCAGAGGCTGCAGACAGTTTCGCAACCCAGCGCTCAACCGCTGTGTCACCAAGGGAGGCCACTACCTTTATTTTTTTTTAGCACTTGCCATTAGCTACATTTCTCTCATTTGTTTAAAATGCCTATTGTCTTCCATGCTGATAGAATGTAGATAAAGATCTTGCCTATAACCCCAGTTCTTCAAACATAGTATGAATTCAATAAAATGTTCAAGAAAGAAATGATGACAAGAAAGGAGGAAAGAAGTAAGGGAATGTGGGCAAGAAAGGAAGGAGAATGTGACCAAGGAGAAAAGAAACTATTTTTGAGGAAATCCCCAGAGATTTCTCCCCTTTGGTGTCTCTTTAATCCTAAGTATTTCTACAAGGGCTTGGTTTTCCTACAGTCCACACTTTCTACTTTGTGACCTGACTGTGTTATCTTCCTGGTTGTCTAATGATCATAAAGTTTAATATTAAACCCTTCTCTATTTTTTTTAAAGATTTATTTATTTAGGGCCTCCCCGGTGGCGCAGCGGTTGAGCGCTGGGTTGCGAAGCTGCCCGCAGCCTCTGCAGCGCCGGTTCAATCCCCGGCTGCTCCCCGGCCACCAGAGGAGGGTCCCACATGGTGCGCAGACCTCTCCTGCCGCCCGCTGCTCCCCTCAGCAGTGTACTTCGGTCCTTCTGCCTGCTCTGCTCCCCACTCTGGCTCTGGTGAATTCTCTCACCCTCCTGTGCTTCTGACTGTACCCAGTGCTTGTATAAATAAATAAATAAATCTTAAAAAAAAATAATAATAATAAATAATAAAAAAAAAAAAAAAAGATTTATTTATTTAAGCATACAAGAACTGGGGTGTAAGCCAGAGGTGCGGGGAGTGAGAAGATTCACCTGAGACAGACTGGGGGGAGCAGAATGGGCAGATCTACAGAAATACGCTGCTGAAGGGAGCAGCGGGCAAGACAGGAGAAGTCTACCGGGCCATGCGGGAAACTCCCTGGAGGCTGGCTGGAGATTGAATCTGTGCTGTAGTGGCTGGCAGCTTGATAGCACCATCTTTAACCCCTGCACCACCAGGGAGGCCCTAACCCTTCTTTACATAAAGCAGCCTGCATAAATTTCATTTACTTCTTAATAAAAGAAGAAAAATAACTTGTAGCAGTAATGTCAGAGAAAAACTGATCATTGAAGGATAAAATGGCTTTTTCACTAATCACAAAGACAGAAAAATTCAAATAATGTGTATTTATTTTTGTTTCTGTAATACTGCCATAAAAAAACATTTCAGTTAGAAGGGTTTCTCTTTAACATAAAAATATATTCATGTTAAAATCTTTAGAAAGTTGAGAAAAGTAGAAAGAAAAATTAAAAATCTATCATATAGCATCCTGTGAATATCACTGATAATGTGTTTGACATGTACTTTAAATAAAAGTGCAATCATGAAATTATAAGTTTTTAAATAAAACCCTGGTTTTTCTCATGATCATATTAGCAATATTAGCATGTCTTAAAATATGCTTCTGCAGGGCCTCCCTGGTGGCGGAAGGGATTAAGCACTGTACTATGAAGCAATCCACAGCCTCTGCAGCACAAGTTTGATCCCTGATCAGCCAGGGCACAACACACATGGCACAGCAGACCTCTCCTGTCTCACGCACTGCTCCCCTCAGCAGTGTATTTCAGTCAGTCTGCCTGTTCTGTTCCCCACTCTGTCCCTGGTGAGTCCTCTTACCCCCTGCATCTCTGACTTGTATCCCAGCTCTTGTATGCATAAATAAATAAATCTTAAAAAAAAAAGTACACTTCTGCTTCTACACATTACGTGTATGTGGTTGATTTCATGTAATGTGAATAACTATGTAATATTACTGTGATGAACTTTCATTTTATTTTTATATACATGCATGACTTTTCCTTAGAATTAACTCAATAAATTATTTTTGCCATGTACGTTTTGTCTTCTGAATCATAATCATAGCTATAAAATATAAGAAATTTGACAAAATTGAATTAAAATTTTTGTTAAAATAAGCTAGGGTAGGAAAGAGTATTTGTAGACATCATGAAATAGCTAGTTTTCTTTTAATTGCATTGTAGAACAGTACAGATACAATGACCAGTTTAGATAGTAGGAGAGAAATATATTGCTTTCAAATATGCACATGGTAGGAATATGATGAGGTTTTTTTTTTTTTTTAATTGCTGGCACTGTTCTTAAATTTCTATTGTGAAGAAAGAAATAACAAGCTGCCAATCAGTTGACAGAGTGGCAAAATTCTAGTTCACAATCATAGATGAATTTTTAGGGTTTCTTAATGAACATATACTAAAACCATTGTCTAAAAATCTCTAAACCTTCCCACCAACTTCAGATCAGTGTCTCAGCTTCTTTAGGAAACAAAAAACAGGTGAAAAGAAGAGGAAAACAGATAGGAAAAGAAACTGGCCTTGCCACACATTTTTTCAAAGAAGCCCTTGGTTTGAAATCTACTCCACAAAGAACTGCCTCACTTGCTGAGAAGAGGATAGGCCCTCCTTAATCAGAGATGACACAAAATCAAGACTTTTCAGAGATATACCTGCAGGAAAGGATAAGTGGCCTGACAATGTCAGTATCTGCAAACATCTCCTAGAGCCACCAGGTAAAAAGTAATCACCATCAGCAGTATCCTCTGCTTATTCAGCTACTCATGGACTTGAATGACCCTTATTCAGATTTCTGATAAAAGATTCACAGAGGTAAAGAAGCTGAATTTCAACTGAAAAAGAAAAGTCATTTAAAAAATTAAAATAATCAAAATAGAATATAAGATCACCAATAATGAGTAGTGTCCAAACTGCTAATAGTAATCAGTTGATAGTGAACTTCTGCTTATTGTTTTCTGTCTTACTATGTGCTCTAGAAAGCATTCTTTAGCAATGTAGGTGATTTTATGTAGTTAGGCCCAGCAGTGCGCTAAAGGCAGTGCCAATATTGATATTGACTATATTTTCCCAATTCTTCTTTAGTGACACCACATTGGTCACTGGAAATTGGCCACAGTGAATGTATTTACATGGATTTTTTTCCCTTCTTTTCTATAATGCCAGATAATTTACCAGCACACTCATAGAAAACTAACTGTATTTCCATTAAGTGTATATTCAGAGAGTGAGAGAGAGAGAGAGAACTCTGATAAATAAAAAATATATATATACACAATGGAATACTACTCAGAAATCAAAAAGATAAACACATGCAATTTGCAGCAACATGGATGGAGCTGGAAGGGATCATGCTCAGCGAAATAAGCCAGAAAGAAAAAGAAAAATACCGGATGGTCTCACTTATAGCAGGAATCTAGAAAACCTAAATAAGGGACCAGGAATAAGAATAGCTATAAGAAAGAAAAAATCAAAATCAACAAACAACTATGAACCAGAGACACACTATGGGGGGCGTGGGGAAAGGAGCGTTTGGGGTCAAAATAAGGGGGTTGGAATTGTATGGGGAATATAAAAAAAATTTAAAAAGTATAAAAAAGAAGGGAGGGAGCACAAGCAACGGTCAGCAGTGGTAACTAAAGGTTCCTTGGTAGTGGGCACATTACGACAACAATGCCTAAATGATGGGAGAAACTACACTATTGTGGAAACAACTATGTAAACCAATATTAATTCAACAAAAAAAAATTAAAAAGTGCACCATTAATAACTACAGGTTGTGCCAACTAATGATGTTAATATTAGGTCCAAAAAGCAAATTTTTAATACAGACCCTCCAATGACAGCCAAAGGGAAACTTGATTCATGCTTACCTACATTGTCTGTTGGAATGATAACTTACAAATTTACTTTATTTTATTATTATCTTGTTTTACTGGGGTATCTTTTACCTAAAAAAAATGCACAACTCCTAACACAGCTACATGAGTTTAACAAATGTCTAACCCATGCAACTACCAAGAAAACACTGTCATTAGCTTTAAATTCTCCCTTGTTTGCTTCCTAGTCAATAAGGAAATCCACCTCTCTCCTCCCTGCTCAGGCAATTATAGTTATTTCTAATAATATAGTAGCTTAATCTATTCTAGAACATCATCCAAATGGAATCATACTGAAAGTACACTTCTGTTTGCCTTTTTTTAGTCAAAATAATATTTGGAAATTCATACTTGCATTTTTTTAGTGGGATTTTTTTTCTTTTGAAAAATATTTAATTTGGAAATAATCTTAAATTTAGCATTTGCTTCTACAGCACATATAATAAAATTGGAACAATACAGAGAAGATGAGCATGGAGCCTGTGTAAGGATGGCACACAAAAACAGTAATTTGAAAGGAAACCTGCACTTCTATGTTTATAGCCCCACTACTTACCATAGCCAAGAGATGGAAACAACCTAAATGCCCCAGAAGAGGTTAGTGGATGAAGAAGACATGGTATATATACACAATGGGATACTACTCAGCAACAACAACAAAAAGATAAACTCATGCCATTTGCAGCAACATGGATGGAAATGGAAGGGGTTATTCTAAGCAAAGTGAGCCAGAAGGAGAAATATAAATACCAGATAGTTTCAATTAAGAATCTAGAGAAACCAAAGGGATCAGACAAAGACCAATGTAAGACTGGTCCTTGAAAGCAGACCACACATCTGAGAAACTCAGGAAAGGAGGAGAAGAGAGAAATGCAATGTAGAGAAGGGGCAAGAGTGCAGTAGACTGTGGTAAAAGACATGAATTCAATGGATAACATCCATACAGTGGAAAAATAGATCCACACAATTTCATATAATATGAATAAACTTATGAAAACTCTTTATGAAGGTCTATATGAAGACTCTTTAATCTGGCAGGTCCTGGACACCAAACTCTTCTCACCAGCTTCCCAACAACAACTTCCTAAAAGTCTTACCAGCACCCCAATATGGATATGCTAATGAGTCTTGCTCACACCCAAATGACAAACTTTCTGGGTAGACTTATCACCAATGTGGCAATTTGCTTCCTGGCACATTTTTTTTTTTTTTTTCAGAATTGAATGGACATCTACCTAGAGAATTCCCCTGAATCCCAGAGGGATAATTTCCTTCTCACCAGCCATGGGCTGCCAGAGCTCAACAAACCTCCTACAACAGTATCTGCAGTGATGTTTGAAAGAATCATCCCAATTGATAGATTGTTAAATTCAACTTAATTTGGGTTTCTACAAGCTAAATTTGATGCCAAAAAATCTACAAATAGAATAATAGCAAGAAATGCAGATTTAGTTACAGTGGCAATGTCAAGGAAATTTCATCCTAAAACACACACACATTTTTCCAACGTCAGGTCTAAAAATATTGTGCAGGTGTCAAAGTATGACATTCTATGTTGAAAAACACTTGAGTTTTATTGAGTTTAGAGAAAACAAAAGTCATTATTTCATAGCATTTACCACAATCTGAGCAGATATTATATCTGTTAGTAAAATTGGAAACATAGGATATCATTTAACAAGAGATAATACAAGGCCTTGAAAGTGTACCTCCAATAAGTGAGCCATCCATTCAATTGCTGATATTTCTGTTTCAACTCATGAAGATGGATTCAAATACTCTGTCCAAACCCATTGCTCTAAGTATTTGTGTTTCCCTCACATTCCCATTATGAATCAACTCATTTTTGCCTCCTTCTTCATTCTTACTGCTGCTCTTTCTTTTCACTTACCCATAGTGGTGTTTGCTTTACATTGCCACAGGTGGAAATCAGGAGTCTGGAAAACTGGTAAGTACGAGATTTTGGTTTACCCCCTAGGTGTTTGAAGCAACTGATTCCTTTTCTACTGCTAAGAGGCACTGAAATTTGGAAGACTTGCTGTTGTTTGCTCTTCTTGAAGTTTATTGACTGTCAGTGTCTCTGGGAACCACCTGCTGTGGCCAGGGAATGTGTTCTGGCTTCTGAAGTTTCTAGTGAGAAAGTGTTCATTTTCTTAGTGATAAAGTGTTTCCCTCTAAAATCATTGAAAGATCATTGCTACTGCCTACTGCTCTTCTCAAGAAAGAGAACTTTCCTTTTAGCAGGTTATTGACTGATGTAGATAAATAAGCTCATGTTATCATTAAAGGACTCCATAGGACTTGCACTCTTATTTATCCAGAGAAGTGGAAATTGTCCAGTTAACAAAGATTCTAATTGATGAGCATATAATGTCATTCCAAGAAACACAAGTATTTATAAAGCATATGGTATATGTTAAGAATCATGTGGGAAATGAAGTATTCATAATTTTAAAAATGTTTAGATCCTGGAATCAAATTTCCTATATTTGAAATTCAACACTTCTATTTATTACAAGTGCAAATGTAGGCAACCTTTCTAAGTCCTGCATTCCTTATCTATAAATAGTGATGATAATATCATCTACCTCATAGGAGGAATGAGTAGGATATTTCACATAGTTATAATTATTACCATTTAAATTTTTTAGCATGGGTTAATTGTATGAAATTTTTCCTGTGCTCAAGAAGTTTGCATGATGCAAGAAACAAACACAAAAGAAATTATACAATGAGTCTGCAGTCCCCATAATACAAAATTTATAAATTACAGCAATCTAACATGTATAATAAACATTTGGGAGGTAGTCATTTCCTAGAGTTTTCTGAGCAACCTTTAAGACAAAAATAATAAGAAAAGAAAATGTAGGTAAGTATAAATTAAGTGCAGGAATGTATAAAAAAGAGGATATACAAAATAATTAAAATATTTAATAATTAAAATTTACATGAAATATTACTGGTCTCCATAGAAACATAATAGGTTTTTTGGGTTTTTTAAAAGATTTATTTATTTGTTTGTTTGTTTGTTTATACACACACTGGGTATAGTCAGAAGCGCAGGAGGGTGAGAGAATTCACCAGAGCTAGAGTGGGGAACAGAACAGGCAGACTGACGAAATACACTGCTAAGGGGAGCAGCAAGTGTGGCAGGAGAGGTCTGTCGCACCATGTGGGACCCTCACCTGCGGCCGGGTATTGAACCGGCGCTGCAGAGGCTGCAGGCAGCTATGCAGTCTAGCGCTCAACTGCTGCGCCACCAGGGGAGGCCCACGTATATAGGTTCTTAAAAGAGCCTCTTTTTTATAAATTCATGAGCCCTAAAAATTATCACTTCTTGCAAAATGATTATAAAATAATTGACAAAGAAAGTCTTGGTCCCTGCTTCTTTAATGATGTAATGTCATTACCTGGTAGCAGATTTAAACTCCCTATATAGGGCCTCCCCGGTGGCGCAGCAGTTGAGCGCTTGGCTGTGAAGCTGCCCGCAGCCCTCTGCAGCGCTGGTTCGATCCCCGGCTGCTCCCCGGCCACCGGAGGAGGGTCCCGCATGGCGGTCAGACCTCTCCTGCCGCCCGCTGCTCCCCTCAGCAGTGTACCTCTGTCCCTCTGCCTGCTCTGCTCCCCGCTCTGGCTCTGGTGAATTCTCTCACCCTCCCGCACTTCTGACTGTACCCAGTGCTTGTATAAATAAATAAATAAATCTTTAAAAATAAATAAATAAACTCCCTATATATATTGGTAAATGCAAAATTATACCAAAATATATATGAACTAAATGGTCACAAAGTCACTTTGCTTAACAATTATTATTTGTGCTGCATACAATGCATTTTGCCTTATTTTGTTTTACTTTTATAAATCATGGTATGAGTCTCTCTGATTTAAACTAATTATATTCAAATATTCTGCCTTAACCTTCCCTAAATTTTGGAAAATGGTGATTTTCTCAGCCCAATTATAGACATAGTATGCTAAAGTGAAATTAGGGCCTCCCTGGTGGCGCAGGGGTTAAAGTCAGTGCTATAAAGCTATCCAGCAGTCACAACAGCATGAATTTGATTCCCAGCAAGGGAGCAAATCCACATGGCACACAAGACCTCTCCCTGTTTTGCCCACTGCTCCTCCCAGCAATGTATTTCAGTAGATTTGCCTGTTTTGCTTCCCACTCTGTCTCTGGTGAATCCTGCAGCTCTGGCCTGCACCCCAGTTCTTTTTTAAAAAAGATTTTTATTTATTTATTTATACAAGAACTGGGGTACAGGCCAGAGGCGCAGGAGGGTGAGAGAATTCACTAGAGACAGAGCAGGGAGCAGAACAGGCAGAAGGACCAAAGACACTGCTGAGGGAGCAGCAGGCAAGGCAGGAGAGGTCTGCCACGCCATGTGGGTATCTCCCTGGCTGCCCAGGAATCGAACCCACACCTCAGAAGCTGTGGACAGTTTCACAGCACGGCGCTTAACCTGCTGTGCCACCAGGGAGTCCCCTGTACCCCATTTCTTGTATGCATAAATAAAAATAAATCTTTAAAAAATAAAGTGAAATTAGAAAGCATGATTTATTTTCACTGCTGGTGAAATGATACTTCTCTTGATCTTATTAGTGCCTATTGCTGGTGTTAAGTATCCTTGGAAGTGCTATGACATGTAATTGGGACAATGCTAATTCAGAGGCAATTCTGTCCCCTGATACCTTCCTGAGGTAAAATTACTTGAATGTCATCCTAGAAAGGATCCCACATTCTTCACCCATTTTAGGTGGGATAGCTAAGGTGGGATACATGTCAAGGTGAACATGTATCTTGAACAGAATGACACGAGTTTAAAAAAAGAAAAAAATTGAATTTGCCCCTTTTTCCTACCTTCTCCATCATGGAGGTGTTTACAGCTGACTTCTTTGTTTGTTATGTCTTCTCACAAGGTTTTTCAGAATCAAGAATTTGTAAGACAAGAGACAAAAGCAGAATCATCCCAATTCCCAGTGGGTTCAGTTGAAAATTAATAATAAAACCATGTACAATTCCAAAAGGAGAGGTTGGAGAAGAATCAAGCTGAACCGATAAGGAATCACAAGTGAGCTGGCTTACTTATTTAGACTATCTCAAGTTACTAGCTCAAAAGCTCACCACTGTATGGAGAGTTAAATGTGTTTTACTTGGAAAATATTGATTTTTCTTTTTGTTTCTATGCTCCTGTACTAGTAGGTTGGCTCAGTAATGTATGAGACCTTTTGTTTGGGGGCGGGGGGGAAGAAAACAATTGAAGCTGCTCCAAAGAAAAAGATTTAAGAAGACTTTTCATGTTACTCATACTTAAAAATGCCCTCATTTCTCTCTTTCCCAAAGATCAATAGCTGAGGTGTATCTATCAATTTTGGGTACTTCTCCGTATATTTTTAACAAAATGTTCTTATATTAGATGGTTGCATTTCAATTATTAGCAACAAAAGAAACTTGACTGATGCACATCTGTCTAAAGAGCTTTTCCAAGTGTTGACTAAAGTAAAAGAAAACATTCAGACCTTCT